TCCTGCGGAAAGGCAGCAACAGCAGCTTGGCTCAGGGGAGAGCGTCGCTCCAGCAGCATCCAGGGCTCCCCTTTTCCCCCCAGCAGCACTTTGCTCTTTTAGCAGAGGCCCTCCGTGCTCCAAGAAGCCCTTTTGAAGTGGATCATGCGTGGAGACACCGCGATCGGAGCTGGAGCGGGACAGGAACCCCACCTCATGAGCCGAGGTTTCAAACAGCAGTGGGGTTTCATGAGTCTGCACCGTTTCAAGGGCATGAGTCCGCACCATTAGGTGCTCTGGGTTTTGCAAGGAAAGGAGAAAATCCCAAAAAACAGAGACCATGCCCTGAGACGGCTTCCTAGACCCAGCTCTGCCGAGGAACGGGCCCCTGGTGCGCTGGGCATGCGAGCCAAGGTGCTACATCCCATTACGACACACGGCCCAACACCATTGTCCTCTTTTTTTGGGCTTTCAGAACCATGGAAGATCCCCACTGCCTGAAGGAAATCCCAACCATGAGCCACAAGCCCTGCGCTGGTGCTCAACTGGGAACGAGAGCGGCCTAGAAACCACCCAAAGCAAGGTTCGAGGTCGTCATCAAACCAGTTTGGAGTTGAGGCAGAGCCAGGCCCACCCCTTCCAGCCCACGTCCGCAGCCCCAGGGATCCCCGCTTACATCCGTGGTGGGCTGCGGGGCGAGGGAATGCCGCCTGCTCTGCAGCAGGGCCGTCTTGCTCGTCGGCCTCCGGATCCCTTCCAGTTTGGGAGGGCTGGGGTTGTAGCCGTACATCCTTCCCAAGTCGCTCAGCCTGGGGGGTGACGACAGAGCGGGTCACTTTGCGTCTCCAGGGAGCCTGTCCGTGGGCCCAGCGGACACGGAGAGCTGGGAAAGCTGGGAGCTGGCTGGGACTGTCGTCTCCGAGCGTTTAATCTGCCAGTGCACACTGGGGCACAGCCCAAACCTCCCAGCCTCTCCGTTTACTCCGGCAGCAGCAGAGTTAAGGGGCAGCCCTGGAGCTGCAGCAACTCAGAGGCAAATTTGGAAGTAAAAAGCAGGAAAAGAACAATTTAAGGAACCTTACCCGGGAATTTTGGTTGAATCTTCAGGTTCCTGCAGAGGGGAGAAGTGCAGAAGATTAAAATCTCTCCTTCTTGGAGCACCCTTCAGCCCTGCTGTGGAAACTCTCCCTGTGAACACCAGCCCGGGTGGGAGAACCCGGCTGTCCCCACCGCCCAGCGTGACACCCGCTCCAGGGGCTGCTCCGGAAGGGCCACGTTACCACCACAGCCCTCCCACCCTCCGTATCCCACACAGGGAGTCTCTGAGTCCCCTCTCTGGAGCAGGAGGTGGACAGAGACCACCACCACCAGCACCTCCCCCCGTCTCCGCGCCCCCCCCCCCGCCGGTACCCGGGCAGGCGGTTTCCCTCTCTGAGCTGCACCAGCGCGTGGCACCCAGGGCAGGAGGGATGTTCAGCCCATTTCATGCTGAGCAACTTCTTGGCAGCCTCTTGTGCCACAACTTCCCCCAGGAAGGGGAAAGGCACCACCCTGCCCCACCACGGTGGGCAAAGGCCAAGTACACAGGGCAAGGGGACACCCAGCAGCACCACGATCCGCCTGGTAGTGCCACGGGGCACATTGCTGTGTCTCTGTTTCCTCATCCATGCCCCCAAGGCAGGAATCTCCCAGCCCAATCCCACAGCCCTCCCCTTACGTCTTTCTTCGCTGCCTTCGATTCTCCATCCGGGTCGCCCGGGGCAGAAGCAGAGGTTTTCTCTCTCTCACCAGGGAGCTCCGTTTTGCCAGCCTTGGCCTCGCCACCTTCGCTTATCTTGAAGGAGGAGGTGCTGTCGTTGTCCTGGAAGCCGTCAGACATGCTGTTGGAGCTCAGCCACGAGGCCACTTTGTTCTTCGAGGTCTCCTCGGACACCGGGAGCTTACAGGAGGCAGCCGCCGCCACCTCATCGTGGCTGATCTGCCGGGTGAGCCCCGAGTCCTTGGAGGCCGTCTCCGACAGCCCGTTCTCCTTCTGGCCCCGGGTCTGCCGTCGCGTGGCATAGCTGCGCCACACCGAGCTGGTGCTGAAGTCCTCGTCCTTGCAGAAGTTGTCGTCAGAGCTGTCCTCGTTGGACTCCTCCTGCTCCTCAGTGCCTGTGTTTTCCTCCTCTTCGTCCTTGAGGTCCACCCCGCTGCTGTCAGAAGAGCATTTTGCGTCGCTCTCGTAGCCCTCCTTGAAGTTCTCCACGCTCTCAATGTGATCCAGGTTTGCAAAATATTCGTCGCCCATCTCTAACCCCTCTTTGTCAGCAAAGTCATCCGTCAGGATTTTCCCTGGGGGGTGGGAAATAGAAAACTAAGTGTGAGTTTTCCAGGGATGACATTCCTACCTCATCGGTTTCATCATAGAATCACAGGACAGTTTGGGTTGGAAGGGACCTTAAAGATCATCCAGTTCCAACCCCCCTGCCACGGGCAGGGACACCCTCCACCAGAAGGCTCATTGAGGAGCAGACAGGACTGACACCACCTCATTCCGAAGCCGGGCTGGGAACGGACAACATATCACCCTGATACTTGAGGCAAGGAAAACCTGAAGCACGTGGCTGGTCCAAAGCGCATCCTTCTTAACTTCCCCAACGGGGAGATCTCCAAACAACTCAAACAGGGTGACCACCTTTCACTTTGGAGGGCTGGAGGTGAGGGTGTAGCACAGAGGCAAAATTGAGGGCGAGAAACCAGTGCCAACTCCGGCAATGCCCGTGGTTAGCTCACTTTCAGAGCTGGCGCAACCGCGCCGCGCAACTTCTGCATTTTATTGGATTGCGCCGACATCCCGGCGACCGGAGCGATGTCAACAGGAAGCAGCTACGTGTGGATTCGCCCTCAGGACGCAGATACAGCGCGGGGGATCCTCTCCGCACGGCGCTGCCACCCACGCTGGTTTCTGCGGCATCTCGGTGCAGAACCCGGCGAGGGAGGGGCACCGATCCGGAAACCAAAACGCTGCAAGTTCCGTCATCTCAGTTTTTACTTTCCTGTTCCGTTAGCCGGCACGGGAGGAGCTTCACACCCGTTCCGCTGGGTTTTGTGATACACAAAGCCCAGACCTCTGGCCTGACACAACCAGATCTTTCCAAATACTTATTCCCCCACTCCATCACCAAGACAAACACACGGCACCGCTGGGAAGAGCGCTGGCTCGACGAAGGCTTTTCATTCAGCACGAAGAGCCTCCTCCTGCTCGTTCCCGGGGCGAGATCCTACCTGCGTAGATGCAGACGAAAGAGCCTTTCGCGATGTCGTCCAGGCAGCGGATGCCCCAGCCCTTGTTCTGGGTCTTGAACAACTGCAGCCGCACCTGGAGCCCGTGCTGGACCAGGCGGTTGGTGCACATGTTGACGTTGCACTTGCACCTCTTGTTACACTCGTAAACTCTGAAAAGGAAGGAGAACGGTGCCACCTTCCCCCGAGAAACCAACACCCCGAGGCGTGGTGGGGCACCAGTAACGCCGCCAAGCGACTCGCACAGCGGCTTAAAGCTCAGCAGAGCAGGGGGAGAGGAGGTGCCAGGTTCTCCGGCAACGCACGGAGATCCCGGACGGCACATGGCAAACAAATGAAGAACAGAGGCAGGTTTTCAGCACTGGGAAATACTGCCTCTCTGGTGGCATCGGGGGTTCTGGGGCTGGGGTTTGCGAGGGAAGGAGAAGGCACAGCTCTACTCACCCCGTCGGGAGGCACTCCTCCAGCCTTTTGTGCTGGTATCCGGAATTGGGGTTGATCTGCCCACCCGGGGTGCAGCCCGTCGCTTGGACTGTCAGCTGGTGACAGGCACATTTCGATCTGGAGACACACAAGAAAACCCACCCATGCCCCAGAGGTTAGTTCCACGTGCCAGTTTTGCAGGAAGGAAAAGAAATCCCATCTTCTGCACGCGTATACGTGAGGGATGGGCACGCAGGGCTTGACCTGGAGCCAAACCTGGCACCCACCAGAGCTGCGTGGGCTCAGAGTGCAGAGCAGATCCCCCAGGGTTTGTTACCAGGGCAGGCAG